TGGAACAGGATAGAAAGCCCAGAAGTAAACCCACGCCTATATAGTCAATTAATCTATGATAAAGGAGGCAAGAATATACAATGTAGTAAAGACTATCTTCAATAAATGGTATTAAGAAAACTGGACAGATACATGCAAAAAAATAAAACTAGACCACTTTCTGACACAACATAAGAATAAACTCAGTGGATTAAAGGCTTAAGTGTAAGACTTGGGAACCATAAAACTAGAAGAAAACAGTTAACTCTGTGACATTGCTCTCAGCAGTGTGTGTGTGTGTGTGTGTGTGTGTGTGTGTGTATTTTTTTGGATTGTCTCCTTGGGCAAGGGAAACAAAAAAATATGAGAGTCTACCTCAAACTAAAAATTTTACAAAGCAAAGGAAACCATCAACAAAAATACAACCTATGAATGGGAGAAGATATTCACTATTGATATATTGATAAGGGGTTAATATCCAAAATATATAAGGAACTCTTACAATTTAGCACCAAAAAGACAATCAATCTGATTTAAAAGTGGTCAGAGGACCTGAATAGACATTTTTCCAAAAGGGACATACTGATGGTCAGTAGGCATAAGAAGAGATATTCAGCATCACTAATCACAAGGGAAATGCAAATTAAAACTAAAAGGGAATTATCACCTCACAACTGTCAAAATGGCTATTATCAATAAATCAACAAGTGTTGGTGAAGATGTGGACAAAAGGGAACCTTTGTGCATTGTTGGTGGCATTACAAATTGGTACAGCCACTATGGAAACAGTATGAGGTCCTCAAGAAATTAAAAATAGAACTACCATATGACCCAGCTATTCCACTTCTGGATATCTATCCAAAGACATCCAAAACACTAATTTGAGAAGATACATATGTACATCCCTGTGTTCATTGCAGCATTATTTACAATAGCCAAGATATGAAAGCAACCCAAGTGGTACATATATAATGGAGTATTATGTGGCCATAAAAAAGAATGCAATCTGCCCTGGCTGGTGTGGCTCAGTGGATTGAGTGCAGTCCTCTGAATCAAAAGGTCGCTGGTTCAAGTCCCAGTCAGGGCACATGCCTGGGTTGTGAGCCAGGGCCCCAGTTGGGGGCATGTGAAGGGCAACCAATAGATGTATCTTTCACATATTGCTGTTTCTTTCCCTCTCTTTCTCCCTTCCCCTCTCTCTAAAAGTAAATAAGTACAATCTTTTTTAAAAAATGCAATCTTCTGCAATAATATGGGCAAACCTAGAGGGTATTAGGCCAAGTGAAATAAGTCAGACAAAGAAAGACAAATACCATATAATTTCACTTATATATGGAATCTAAAACACAAAATAATGAACAAAACAGAAACTCAGAGAGAGAACAAACATAGTTACCAGATGGGGAGCTGGGAGACTTGGTAAAAAAGGTGAAGGGCTACCCAGGCCAGGTGGCTTAGTTGATTGGAGTATCATCCCATGCACCAAAAGGTCATGTGTTTGATTCCCAATCAGGGCCCATATCTGGGTTATGGATTTGATCCCCGGTCAGGGCATATGCAGAGGCAGCTGATTGATGTTCTCTCACATCAGTGTTTCTCCCTTCTCCAAAATCAATAAAAGCATCCTTGGGTAAAGAGCTTAAGTACAAATTAGCAGTTACCAAATAGTGATGGGGGCCCTAGCCAGGTAGTTCAATTGATTAGAGTGTCATCCCAATATGACAAAGTTGCAGGTTCAATCCCTGGTCAGATTGAATCAACATACAAGAAGCCAATAAATGCATAAATAAATGGAACAACAGATCATTGTTTCTTCCTTCTCTCTCCCCGTTCCTCTATCTAAAATAATAAAAATTTAAAAAAAAATAATGAAGCCCTGGCTGATGTGACTCTGGATTGAGTGCTGGCCTGGGAACAGAAAGGTCGCTGGTTTGATTCCCAGTCAGGGCACATGCCTGGGTTGTGAGCCAGGCCCCCAGTTGGGGGCATGCAAGAGGCAACCAGTCCATATTTCTCTCGCAAATCGTCTTTCTCTCCTTCTCTCCCTCATTTACCTTCTCTTCCTCTCTCTAAAAATAAATAAAATTTTTTAAAAAATCATGAGGGTGAAATGTACAGCATATAGAGTATAAGTCAGTAATATCTATGTATGGCATCAAGTGGATACTAAACTTATTGGGGGTATTACTTAAAAGGTATATAAATGTCTAATCACTATTCTGTACACCTGAAACATACAGTAAAGTTTTTTAAAGTTGTTTTCAATTCTATTTACAGATGACAGTCTTACACAAAAAATTAGTTCATGCTCAACATTGAGCTGATAAAACTATTAGAGCTAATAAAGCTCAGCAAAGTTGTTGGATATAAGCACAATGTAAAAATTAGTTGTATTTCTAAACACTGGCAAAGAATAAAAGGAATAAAATGGGAATAAATGTCACTGAGGAGTTTAAAGGCAACACTGAAAACTATGAAACAGGTGCTTAAAAAATAAGACAAATAAATGGAATAATATTCCTGTTCATGGACTGAAGACTCAATATTGTTAAGGCAGCAGTATTCCCTAAAGTGATTTACAGATTCTTTGAAAATCCTCGTGGCCTTTTATGCAGAAACTGGAAAGCTGATCCTAAAATTCACATGGAATTACATAGAAGCCCAAATAACCAAAAACAATTTTTAAAAAGAAAAATTTAAATTTAACACAAAATTTAACCAAAACAGTGTAGAACTGACATAAGGACAGATGTCTCAACCAATTGAATAGAATAGAGAGATCAGAAATAAACCCCTATCTATGGTCAGTTGGTTTTCAACAACAGTGTCAAGACTATTCAATGGGGGAAAGAATTTCTTCAACAAATGGTGCTGGGGCAACTGGATAGCCACATGCAAGAGAATGAAGGTTGGCCCCTACCTCACACCATATACAAAAATTGACCCAAAATGCATCAAAAGACATAAATGTAAGAGCTAAAACTATAAAACTCTTAGAAGTAAACATAAGAGTAAATCTTTATGATTTTGGATTTGGAAATGAATTATTAGTATAACAAAATAACAAGTAACAAAAAAGATAAATTGGACTCCATCAAAACTTCTAACTTTTCTGCTGCAAAAGGCAGTATCAAGAAGTAAAAGCCTACAGAATGTGATATTTGCAAATCATGTATCTGATAAGAATGTAGTATTCAGAACATATAAAGACTTACAACTCAACAACAAAAAGATAACCCAATTTAAAAATGGCAAAGTAGAATAGGCATTTCTCCATAGATACACAAGACTGTCAACAAACACAAGAGAAGATGCTCAACATCATTAGTCATTAGGGAAATGCAAATTTAAACCATATGTGATACTACTTCACACCCATAAGGATGCATATAACAATTTTTTTTTTTTAAAAAACACAAATTGACACATCAATGAGGATGTGGAGAAACTGGAACCTTCCTATGCTACGGGTGGGAATGTAAAATGGTAGAACCAATAACGTATGTAAATTCAAGTTGGTACATATCCTGTTGAGCTCTTGGCACTGTCAGGCTTTTTGTTGTTTCAACCATCCTAATAACTGCATAGTGATGTGTCACTGTGGTTTAATATGCATTTTCCTAATGACTAATAACCATGAGCATCTTTTTCTTATTATTTGCCATATATCTTCTTTTTTAAAGTATCTGTTTAAAATTTTGGTCCACTTTCTAATTGGATTTAGTGTTGAGAGTTTGTTATGTATTCTGGATGTGTCTTTTCATTGGCTGTGTTTTGTGAATATTTTCTTTTAGACTGCGGATTATCCTTTTTCTTAAAAACGTCTCGAAGGGAAGTTTTAATTTTTTATTAAGTCCAATTTAAAAAACATTTTTAAGGATTATACTTCTGGTGTATCTAAGAAATCTTGCTTAACCATGTCATAAAACTTTTCCCATTTTCTTCTAGAAAAGATAGTTTCAAGTGTTTTGTTTTGTTTTTTAACTTAAGGCCTTAATAGGGACCTTGATATAAACAGCAGTTTCCCGTGATGTGACAATTTTAGATTTTATATTTAGGTTGTGTGACGGTTCATTTATTTGGATTCCCAATTGTTTAAAATCATTTATTGAAAGACTATTCTTTATCCACTGAAGCGTTTTGTCATCTTTGTTACACTGACCATATATATGTGGATATATTTGAGGATTCTCCTTAGGGTCCGTGCATTTGTTTCTGTTACTTCGCCAACATCAATAAAGATGCGGAGAAAATCCCAGGGGTTGGCAGTCCCTCCTCTTCGCCCGCCCTTCCGAGCTCAGCCCACTTCATCTCCCAGGTCGTCTTTGTCACCTGTCCTACACTGTAGCAGCCCTGGGGAAGGCTTCCAGGTGAGCCCCCAGGTGATGTGGCCGAACTTCGTGTTCCATCCTCACCCTGGAGGCTTCCCCGTACTCAACCAAGCGCACAACCCCCCACTCTCCAAAAGAGGACACGGTTACCAGGACAACCGCCGGCGCGCCGGGATCCGGGACGACTTCCGGCTTGTCGTGACGAACGAGCCGCCTGCGCGTACTTGGGTCCAGGCCTGACACCCTCTCGCGGTTGGGCGATTAGCTCTGGCCTTCTACAGGAAGTTCGGAGTACTGCCCCTTAGCGCTGCGGTGTTTTCTCTGGGGTTCCTGACGCCGGCGCAGCCAGCAGTTTATACGTGGCAGGGAGAAAGCTGCTGGGCAAAGGAGACTCAGCTTCTTGACACTATCGTACATTCTTTCCAGAGGAGTAGAGAGGAGGAAATGGGAAGCAATATGTAGAGAACCTAGCACAGTGTCAGGCACATAGTAGGTGCTTAGAACGTGTCAGTCAGTGTCTGCAAAGTGTTGATAGGGGCTCGAACACCCTGCGGCTCGGAGCTCCCCGTCGGGAGGTACGTCCCGCACCTCCCTCCTCGATTCCGAGGCATCCCAACGCCTGCCACCGCTTCTCTGGCGCACGTTTACGTAATCTGGCTGCTTCGCCTCTTGTCCTGTTTGACTCTTGCTGCGCGCCGTCGAGAACTCCGTGCGTTGCCATAGAGACACGAGAGCGCTGAGTGGGAAGCCGTGGATAACCGCGGAGGCTCCGTGCTTCTCCGTGCCAGAATCATGTCTTTCCGCGACCTTCGCAGTAAGGAAACCCTGCCCCTTGTGACCTGTGGGCCCCCCAAGAGACTCGGGGCTCGCGTGCTCCGGGTCTTCTTGTCTGAGCTGCTTCGAACCCCTCCTGGGCCTCTGCACCTCCGGGGCGCCCCTAGTTCTCTGTTGCCCTCCCTCTCCAGGTTCAGCGCCACAGTCCGGGTTTATATTTTCCATTGGCTGTGGCTTGTGCAGTAGAGGAATCGAGGATCGATAAAGTTTCAATTTTATCTCATTTTAATTGACTTGTATGGCTACTTGAGCTCTTCACTACCGAATTAGAAAAACGCAGAGACTTTTTGGATTGGGTTAAGTTAGAGCTCAGAGAAACGAACAAAACCGAGGAGAGGACTGCTGAATAATAATTGCGTCTTAACTCTTTTTAAGTTTTTACGACCTGCTAGGTAGTAACTGTTTTGTGTATGTATCATTTTATTTACTCCTTTGAATAACTACGTTTCTATATTTAGAGGCGAGGAAACGGGCACAGGGAGGTCAAGTTACTCAGTCGAGGGACACAAGTGCTAAGAGCTGGCTCTGGAGTTTGAACTCAGTTGTCCAACTTCCAAAGGCTTCATCCTTTCTAAAAGGGCGATGAGAAGGGAGACCAGATGGCTTTGCTAGAAGGTTGGAGAAGTGGAAGAATGGAGAAAAGAGAATTAGTTATTACTGCTTTCACACCAGACATTTTACATTCACTGTCATACTTTAGTCAGTAAGTGGTATAATTCCTGGATGAAATATTTGAGGCACAGATACGTAAAGTAGTTTGTTTTAGGTCACACAACCAGAACTGGGTGGAACCCAGGATCAAGAAGTACTACTGTGTAAATCAAAATCTCTTGCCTTTTTATACAATGTCATTTTCTGAATCAGAAGCAGTTCAGCTAACTGGCTCCACCTGCCTAGATGTAGCAGGTGATTACCAATTTGGTGTGATAGGAGGGGACTCTGTAGGGCCAGTTGTCTAACTGAATTGCTGGTCCGTGAAATTATACCATTAAAGATTACTTCTTTCAGTTATGAATTGCTTTTTTTTCTACAATGTAAATATACAGGAAGACACATCACATTTTGTTACTACTCGTACTAGCACCATAGCGTGAATTATACCCTCCAGGATTTAAAGATTCTTGGTGACTTGTATATTGTAGAGAGAAGTTTCTCTTCCCTCCCAGTTTAGAGCAAGCACTCTGCTAGGGGACATTGGCTGGAGTTGTATTGGGAAGAGTGTTCAAGAAGGGGATTTCTGAATATTTTGACATGAAGTGAATGCTGTACAATTGTGCAGTTTATGTTAAGAATCTTACTCAGGTTGTCTCCATTTTGACAATATTACTGCAAAATGAACAGAACTTAACTACTGCTTAGTATTTAGGCAGTGCCTGCCTGGATGTTGCTTTATTTCCATCACTCTATTCAGATTTCCCAAAAAACAATGACAGAGGCGCTCAGTGCCATTGCTCTTTCCTCTGCTCATGCCTTCCCTATTGTCCGGTAAAATCGAACCTAATCCCTGATGGGTAGTTTCTTTGTGAATGTTGTTGAGACATTTTGAACATCTACCTTCAAGAAGAGTGAGGACAGACATTAAATAGCCATGAGCACACTGAATATATATCTTGGAACATTGTGGTAACTTAAAACATGTTTGTTGTGTTCATTTCCAAGTCCTGCTTAAAGCTTAGTGACAGCCCTCACCTGTATGGCTCGGTTGGATGTAGTCCTGCAAAGTCAAAGTTCACCCATTTGATTCCCAGTCAGGACACATGCCTAGATTGCGGGTTCAGTCCCCGGTTGGGGCACGTCCAAAAGGCAACTAATTGATGATTCTCACATCACTGTTTCTCTGCCTCTCTTTCTCCCTCATTTCCGTTCTCTCTAAAAATAAATAAAATCTTTTTAAAAAGGCTGAATGACAGCAACCTCTCATGTCAATACGTGTTAGTATTACTGTTATTACTGTTTCTTAATCTTTTGTAATAAATCTTAGTGCTCTATAGTTCAGTCAGTCTCTTTAAGGTTTCTCTAGATACAGTGCAACTAACCTTTAAAATTTATTAAGGTCCTATGTGCTCACTAAAAGGAAAAAAAAGACATCACAAATAACTCAGAAATATGAACTTTACCCTAACGCCATCCAGATAAACCCCAAATAAATTTACCCCCCAAATAAACAGTTAACTTTTAAAAATATTTTTATTTATGACATTTTATAAGGCAAGGTATTTCTCATTTTGAGTGGTAAGAATATGTCCAAAGGAGAAATTGCCCTGGCTGGGTGGCTAAGTTAGTTGGAGCATTATCTCGTATACCAAAAGGTTGCGGGTTCAGTCCTTGGTAAGGGCACGTACATAGATTGCAGGTTCAATTCCTGGTTGGGGTGCCTATGGGAGGCAATAGATGGATGTTTCTCTGTCCCCAAAAGATCAATAAATATACCTTAAAAAATAGAAATGAAATTCACAGCCAATCCCTAAACCCCATTTAATGCACAGCTTCCACTTCTCCCAGAGAACTTAAATAATTTATGTTTCTCAGGAAGCAGATTATTTTATCTACTTTTTTCTTTCCCTCTTAGAGAGTTGATAAATAGTCCGTAAAACTGTCAGTAGATTGGAAATAAGAAGGGAAGGCAAAGAAAGTAAGTTAAGTAGTTGCTGTTTGACAATGAATTGACTGAATTGTATTTTACCTTCAATAGATTTTACAGAGATGATGAGAGCCTTGGGATACCCTCGACATATTTCTATGGAAAATTTCCGCACACCAAATTTTGGACTTGTATCTGAAGTTCTTCTCTGGCTTGTGAAAAGGTTAGAATTGCACTTTATTGAAGTCTATGAATGAAGACTTGGTATTCATTATTAGCCATCTAGAAACAGGATACTGTTGTAAAGCTAACGGAAGAGTTCAATAATATTTGAGTTTGACAGACTTAGTTTTAACCTGTTAAAAATCAGTTGAGATTTAAAGAATGCTGTTGGAGAAGGAATGTACCAGGCAGTGTGGTAAAAGGAGACTGTTTCTCAGTAGGAAGCAGTCACTGGGGTCCAAGTTCCTCTCCACCCTCTGACCTTCATCAGAGAGTGACAGACCCCTCCTACACATTCTAATGAGTATACTGGATTAGAAATACTTTCAATTTCATTTTATGTGTAAACTCTACTATCTAACATTTGGGGTTGGCAAACTCTTTGTGAAGAACCTTAAGTGTTGCAGGCTACATAAGATCTCTGTCACATATTCTGCCTTGTGTTTTGTTTTCTATAATCCTTTAAAAATGTAAAAACCCTTCTTAGCTCGCAAGCTGTCCACAGAGGCCAAGGCCTGCAGTCAGCTGAGTCCTGGTCGGTCATCAGTAACATGAAGAAAGTAACTTTAATTACTCTGCTGCTTCTGTGAGCTAACTTGTTAACGCTGGGTCAAGAGCTATCAGCCAAAGTATTCATTTTTATTATTTTAATTAAACTTTGAGGTCTGAGAGAGATTTAATTTTGTAAGCTGAGCTCCAAATTTGATTTTTGAAATCAGTTAAACCTATTCTTTGGGTGAGTATTAGATATTTGGTATTTTGTATTGCTTTTGAAGTCTTTCCTAGCCTTACTGACTTATCAGGGTACTTAGAGAGCTTCCTGTTACAGATCCTCTGACTTCTCAGTTACCTACTTTTTCTTTCATGGACTTTATACTTAACTGTGTCTTCTCTCTCTCTCTCTCTCTCTCTCAGGTACGAGCCTCAGACTGACATCCCTTCTGAGATTGAGACGGAACAAGACCGAGTTTTCTTCATTAAGGCAGTTGCCCAGTTCATGGTTAGTTCATAGTTATTTGGTGGGATTGTAAAATTAAACACATTAGAAAGAGATGAGTCCTAGTTAGGGCTTCTTTCAAGTTTCTAAACCCATTCCATTACCAGGTTTGTGTAGAGCCATTTTGCCAGAAGAGTTTTTGTTTTTAATTCATTATTTGTTAAGATTTTTATTTCTTTTTGAATAAGTAATATATTTCAAGGTTTAGAAATTTCTTTTAGATCATGAAATGATAATAGAGTAAAATTACTCCTTATCCTGTCTGCTTGTCAGCCCAGTTGCATTGCCGGTAAGCACTGTTATTCTTTTTTAAGATTTTATTTATTTATTTTTAGAGAGAGGGGAAGGGAGGGGAAAAGAGAGGGAGAGAAACAGCAATGTGTGGTTGCCTCTTGAGTGCCCCCTCCTGGGGACCTGGCCCACAACCCAGGCATGTGCCCTGACTGGGAATCAAACCGTCTTTGGTTCCCAGGCCAGCACTTAAACCACTGAGCCGCACCAGCCATGGCAGTAATCACTATTAATATTGTCCAGAGTTTATGCATATGTAAATATATAGAATATATTTTTGTACATATATTCTTTTCCTTCTTTTTACAAAACTGGTAGCATTCTGTTTAGAATCTTGCTTTCTTCACTTGATGGTACATTTTGGAGGACTTCCCAAATACATATAAAACTTCCTCATTCTCTTTTTAAAACATTTAAAAAAAATTTTTTTCATCCTCACTCAATATATTTATTGATTTTTAGAGCAAGAGGAAGGAAGGAAGAAAGGGAAAGAGAAACATCGATTGGTTGCCTCCCTTGCCCCAACCAGGGGTTGAGCCAACAGCCTAGGTATGTGCCCTGACCCGGGATCAAACCCACAACCTTTTGGTGTATGGGGACAATGCTCTAAACAACTGAGCCACCCAGCCAGGGCTTATTCTCACTTAACACTTGAGTAGTGTTGCTTGCCTAGGTAAACCACAATTTATGTAATTTACATAGATAAACATTTACGTGTTTGTAACCTTTGCTCTTTGAAGCAATGCTGTAACAAATAACCTATATGTATCTCATTTCATTTGTGAATATATCCATCTCTAGGATAAATTCTCAGGATTGGAATTGCTAGGCCAAAAGATACGTGCATTTGTAATTTTGTTGTCATTTACACAAAAATTGCTCTCCACCAAGATTGTATTACTTTACACACTCTCCTGCAATGTTGAGTCACTGGAAAGCTTGACTCTTAATACAATCAGGCTATATCCCAACTGTTGGTAGGGACATTTTCAAATTACCTACATGAGATTTTGTTTAGATTTTTACATGGAAAGGGTCTTAAACTGTTTTTTTCCCCCTTCTGTCTGAAAATAGGCCACCAAGGCACATATAAAACTCAATACTAAGAAGCTATATCAAGCAGATGGCTATGCAGTGAAAGAACTATTGAAGATCACCTCTGTCCTTTATAACGCTATGAAGACCAAAGGGATGGAGGGCTCTAAAATAGCAGAGGACGACATTAGCAAATTCAAGTTTGATCTTGGCTCCAAGGTGAGAACAGTGAAAGGCTTGTAGTGAGGGAGGAATGTGTTATTTCTCACTCTGAAATGGAACATGTCATGTACTCAGAACTACTTTCCTTCTTGACTGAGGGCAGTTTTTCAGTTTTGTACTCATCAGCATTTGGATAAAAACAGAAGTCGCAATAAATTAATTCAGCTATTTACTGAAAACCTGCTACTAGCAAGGTAGGCGAAGCTAGAGCTAGTGGAAACAGAATCCTAGAAGACTAAGGAAATAGGAGGAAAGTTGTCAGCTGCGAATGAATATTGAGAGTTGATGTTGATGGTTTGATAATAAAAGAGACAGTGGGAATTAGTTGTTTAGGAGAGAGGGAGTGTGAGCATAGGGGAATGTTTGGGCTCTTTGAAAATAGAGCATATTCAAGGAAGAAGGGATAACATGTAAATCCTAAGAAAAGCGTGTGCACAGGGCTGGGTGCTAAATCATCATCTTCATAGCAATGGCTGCCACCCTTCTGGGGGCCGGCGTATGTTGCATGCTAACTCATTTGAGCCTCACAGCAGCCCTGTGAAGTGCAGTCCAAAGGCAGAGAACGAGGAGACAGAAGGGTTAGACAGAGGACAATCAGGTCGCTGCACTAGGAAATGTGTCCCTCAGATTGGGCCTCTTTTAGTCACCCTGTCAATGTCAGGGTCTCCTGTTGTGACTTTGTACGAATCAGAGGCGTGTCAACTTTCATGCCCCCTCCACCCCTGATTGAAGATTGCATTTGAATTGACATTTGAGTTTTTAGAGAGACTCTAAGTTACTCTCATTTGTATTTAGATCAGTGTTTCCCAAACTGGGATCTGGGGGCTTTCTTCCACAGGATGTAAGTATATGAGTATGTCTTGTGGAAAATGTGTCCAATATCATGTATCCTGACTGGAGGTAGGGATTGTTATTAACAAACTGGTTGTTTCTGAATGCCTGTGAAAAACCTATCACGGATCCTGTTTTTGATATTTTTCCTTCCAGATTGCCGATTTGAAGGCAGCAAGGCAGCTTGCTTCTGAAATCACCTCCAAAGGAGCGTCTCTGTATGACTTGCTGGGCAAGGAAGTAGAGTTGAGGGTAAGCAGTGCTCGGATAACTTAATTCCTTTGTCGGATAAGCAGATGTTTAAGGTTTTTTCCCCCCTGTTTTTCTGATTTTATTAAACTATACCTGATTAAATGAGATAATGTATGAGAAAATTACATATATAGTGTTAGCTGCTATTCCTGCTTCTCGTGAGTACTGGTCTGTTTTTAATGCCTTTGACTTCGAGTTCAAGAATGGCAAATATGTTGCTGAAGTTTTTCTTCTGTGTCCATGGCAGAATTTATTGAGCATGATGCTTTTCCCTGGTGAAATCAGCCTCAGCATTCTTCTCAACAAAATCCTCTTCTGAGCCATGGTTCCCAAATCTTGCTGAACAATGCAGTTACCTGGGGATATTTATTTTTATTTACTTATTTTTAATGATTTTATTTATTTTCTTCTTAAAGAGAGGGGAAGGGAAGGAATAAGAGAGGGAGAGAAACATCAATGCGAAAGACAAACAAGTTACCTCTTGTACACCTCTTACCAGGGACAAAATCCACAACCCAGGTATTTGTCCAGACCAGGAACTGAACTGGCTACTTTTCACTTTGTAGAACAATACCCTACCAAGTGAGCCATACTTACCAGGGCTTATTTTTATTTTTTATTTATTTCTTTTCCACTGGTCAGAGAGAGAGAGAGAGAAGAAACATCAGTTGTTTGCCTCCCGTATGCACCCAAACCAAGAATCAAACCCACAACCTTTTGATGTGCAGGATGATGCTCCAGCCAACTGAGCTACCCGGCCAGGGCCTCCTGGGGATTTTTAAAAACTATTGATGTGGGGTTTTATTTTGATGTCATTGCTAGGAAATGTGACTTGGGCATTGTGGATTTTAAAAGTTTTCTTTGTGATTCTAAGGCATTGCAAAGTTTGGGAACCAGTAATCTAGGCAGTCACTACCAACCAGTGGAAGTTAATGTTAACAGTTTAAATTTATTTGCAGCCCTATTCTAGCTGATGTCATTCAAGGAGTATGTTCCATCCATTATGTTTAAGGAACTGTTCAAGAGTGTGGTTCTAGAGGATTCCCATAGAGCTTTTAAATCACCTGATGTTCAGGTTGTCCCCAAAACCAGTGTATCAGAATGTCTGGGGATGAGAGCCAGGCATCCTGTGTTTTTTAATTTTTGTAATTTTTTTTTGATGAATGTTTTATTGTTTATGCTCTTACAGTTGCCCCAATTCTTCCCCCTTCCCTCCTCTCCACTCAGTCCGCTCCCACTTCTGTAGTCAGTCCCCACACCGTAGTCCATGTCCATGGGTCCTTCATATTTGTTCTTTGACTACTCCCTTCGCCTTCTTTCAATCAGTCCCTTCTTCCCGCCTCCCCTCCTACCGCTGTCATTCTGTGCCTCTGATTCTGTTTTGCTCATTAGTTTATTTTTGTTCATTAGATTCCTCTTATAAGTGAGATCATATGATATTTATCTTTCACCAGCTGGCTTATTTCACTTAGAATAATAGTCTCCAGTTCCATCCATCCATGGTAGGAATTCCTTTCTTTTTTTCTGCTGTATAGTATTCCATTGTGTAAATGTACCATGGTTTTTTAAATCTGCTCATCTACTGATGGGCACTTAGGCTGTTTCCAAATCTTGGCTATTGTAAATAGCACTGTGAACATAGGGGTACATAAGTTCTTTTAAATTGGTGTTTCGGGATTCTTGGGGTATATCCCCAGCAGTGGAATTGCTGGGTCAAAAGTCAGTTCCATTTTTAATTTTTTGAGGAACTTCTATACTGTTTTCCCCAGTGGCTGCACCAGCCTGGAATCCCACTGTGCTCTAGGGTTGTCTTCTCTCCACATCCTTGCCAGCACTTGTTTGTTGATTAATCAGTGATAGCCATTCTGACAGGTGTGAGGTTATATCTCATCGTGGTTTTAATTTGCATCTCTCTGATGGCTAGTGATGTTGAGCATATTTAATATGTCTGTGGACAATCTGTATGTCCTCCTTAGAGAAGTGTCTATTTAGGTCCTTTGCTCATTTTATAATTGGATTGTTTGTCTCCCTGGTGTTGAGTTGTTTGAGTTCTTTACATATTTCGGAGATTAAACCCTTGTCCAATGTATCATTGGCAAATATGTTCTCCCAGACTGTTGGTTCCCTTTTCATTTTGATTATGGTTTCTTTAGCCATGTGGGAGCTTTTTAATTTGATGTAGTCCCAATTTGTTTATTTTTTCCTTTATTTCCCTTGCCCTAGGAGGTATATTGGCAAAATATTGCTATGTGAGATATCTGAAATTTTACAACCTGTGTTTTCCCCTAGGATTTCTATGGTATCACAACTTATATTTAAGCCTTTTATCCTTTTTGAATTTATTCTGGTATATGGCCTCAGTCGATGGTCTAATTTCATTTTTTTTGCATGTACCAGTCCAGTTCTCCCTACACCATTTATTGAAGAGACTATTTTTATTCCATTGTATGCTCATACCCTCTTTGTCAAATATTAATTGACCATAGAGACCTGGGTTTATTTCTGGGCTCTCTGTTCTGTTCCATTGATCTATGTGTCTGTTCTTACGCTGGTAATAGACTGTTTTGATTATAGTGACCTTGTAGTATAGTTTGATATCAGGTATTGTGATCCCTCCAACCTTGTTCTCAAGATTGCTGAGGCTATTTGGTTCCATATAAATTTTTGGAATATTGGTTCTAGATCTGTGAAATATGCCATTGGTATTTTAAACAATCTATAGATTGCTTTGGGTATTATGGACATTTTAATGCTTTTAATTTTTCTACTCTATGAACACAGTGTATGCTTCCATGTATTTGTATCTTCTTCAGTTTCTCTTTTCAGTGTCCTATAGTTTTCCGAGCACAAGTCTTTTACCTCTTTGGTTAGATTTATTTTTAGGGTTTTTTTGTTGTGTTTTTTTTGTAGCTGTAATAAATGGGAATTTTTCCCTTTGTTTTTCTTTCTGATAGTTCATTGTTGGTGTACAAAAATGCCATTGATTTCTGAATGCTGACTTTGTATCCCACTACTTTTTCACTTATGTCAAATAGTTTTTTTGGTGGAACTTGTAGGATTTTCTGTGTACACTATCACATCCTCTGTGAATAATGACAGTTTTACTTCCTCCTTTCCAATTTGGATGCCTTTTATTTCTCCTCCTTGTCTGAGCACTGTGGCCAGAACTTTTGGGACTATGTTGAATAAGAGTGGTGGAGGCGGGCACCCTTGTCTTGTTCCTGATCTTAAGATAAACACTTTTAGTTTTTGCCCATTGAGTACAATGTTGGCAGCAGGTTTTTTCATAAATGGCCTTTATTATGTTGAAGTATGTTCCCTCTATTCCCACTTTGCTGAGTGTTTTTATCATAAAGGGGCATCTAGCTTTTAAATATAGGATTCCATTGTGTATCAGAGTTTGGGACTCACCGATTTAAGAAGAAATGGAATATTACATACTTTGCACCTGTAAGGATTTATGGCACTTGAAACATACATACTCTTATCTAGTTTTAAAATTAAATACATTTCACTCATTCCACTCCCATCAAGTGTATCAGCTGTGACCACTCTTTCACTTTCCTGTGTTCTGGCCTTGCATCTACTGTATAAGGGCATTTTTTCCTCGTTTCATTTCTGCCCTAGGAGAAGACTGGAGGTGGTAGAATTGGATGCCAGGTCACCATCCCTGCTCTTGATGCAATGGTTGCCCCCTGCTCAAGTACAGTTGGCAGAACAGAACTGCCTCTAATGTCTAATGGCTAATTTATTTTATTTTATTTTTAATTAGTTTTTAAAATTCTCACAAAAGAACATGCTTTTTGATTTTAGAGTGAAGGGAATGGAAGGAGAGAAACATGAATGTGAGAGAGAAACACCGATTGGCCACTTCTTGCGTGTTCTCTGACCAGGACCAAACCCGCAACCTAGGCATGTGCCCTGACCAAGAATCTAACCTGCAACCCTTTGGTCCATGGGATGACATTCCAACCATCTGAGCCACATCACTCAGGGCTGTAAGAGCTAATTTAGATAACTCATGAGGTAACTTCAGGCTTCCCATGTTTTCTGTTTATACTGCAGTAGCGCACATGTCTATACATGTTCCTAAAGGACCTAGAGATAAGAGCTGGTCACTTGCTATTTGTCAGCAGAGCAGTGGCTTCCCTATGAAACTTCATCAAGGTTCCACTGGGGACCCGTTTAGCACCACCCTGAAATGAATTGATGAAAAAATCAGTGACTGAACTATTGCTGTGGGAGCCATGAGACCCTTATCAAATTCTGTGTACAGTCATGATCTGAGAAAGATCTCCTAGCCAGTTTTGTTTTTTATACACTTAACCAACATTCACTGAGGATCAAACACCAACCACAGGCAAGGCACTGAACCTTGAATAAGTCTTAATCCCTTTCCTCAATAGTTTTCTACCAGTGGGGAGGTAATGTGCACTATGCAGTAATGGAAGCACAAGACACATTTTGGTAAAGTGATTTAGGAATCTCATAACTGCATCCACATTAAACTACCATGTCTCAGAAGTTCCCAGTACTGATACAACAAGCACACATGCCTCCCTTGATCGGTCTATGATTGATGCTGGGGCAGAGCCAGGTCCATTCTTCTCATTGGTTGAACTTGCCAATGATAGACAATTTAGAGTAACTTAATCATAAAAAGATTGTAGAGGCTGGCAGGGGATTCAGACAGCAAGCTGAGCTGCACTTGGTTTAGGAGTCACCTGAACAAAATGCAAGTAAAGAAGAAAATTGAGGAGAAAAATTGAGAGATGGTGCTATGGGGACCAGGGGCCTCTAGCTGAAAAGCAGCCCTTGAACACTGGAGAGAGTCCTGGTTGGCAGCAGAATTATAGAATACATTTGGAGAAGGTGATGGGGGAAGTATTTTTGCATCAGAGATCCTTTCTTTTTAAGTTTCAAATCATTAATTTTTCAGTTACAGTTGACATACATTTTTATACTTTCAGGTATACACCACACTTACTAGACATTACGTAACTTATTAAGAGATCATCCCAATACATCTCACACCCATCTGACACCATACATAGTTATTAGAATATTATTGACTATATTCCTTCTGCTGTACTTTACATCCCCATGGCAACTTGGTAACAACAAATTTGTACCTCTTAATCCCTTCACCTTTTTCATCCCTCCCTCAAACCCCATCCCATCTGGCAACCATCGAAATGTTCCCTCTGTAGGAGCCTGTTTTTGTTCTGCTTGTTCGTTTACTTTGTTTTTTACATTCAGTTGTTAAAAGGTATGTATTTCTTGCCAGCTTCATATTTTTTATCTTTTTTTTTTTCCTCCTTAAAGAAGACCCTTTGACATTCGATATAATACTGGTTTGGTGGTGATGAACTGCTTTAGCTTTTTCTTGTCTGGAAGTCCTTTATCTATCCTTTGATTCTAAATGACATCTTTGCTGGGTAGAGTGATCTTGGTTATAGGCTCTAGCTTTTCATTACTTTGACTATTTCTTGCCAATCCCTTCTGGCCTGAAAGTTTCTGTTAAGAAATCAGCTGACATTCTTATGGAGCTCCCCTGTAAGTAACTAACTTTTTTTTTTCCTGGCTACTTTTAAGATTCTCTCTTAGTTTTTAACTTTGGCATTTTAATTATGATGTGTCTTGGTGTGGACCTCTTGGGGTTCAACTTGTTTGGGAATCTGAGCTTCATGGACTTGTGTGTCTTACTACCATCATCAGGTTAGGGTATTTTTCTGTCATTAGTTTTTGGAATAGGTTTTCAATTTCTTGATATCTCTCTTCCCCTTCTGGTACCCCTATGAGGCAAATATTGGTATGCTTGAAGTTGTCCGAGAGGCTTCTTACACTAATCTAATGTTTTTGGATTATTTTTTCTTTTTGGGTGGATTTTTTTGTTTGTTTGTTTATTTTTTGCTTTCTTATATTCCAAATTGCTGATTTGATTCTTGGCTTCATCTCCTCTATCGTTGATTCCCTATAAAGTATTCTTCATTTCAGTTAACGTATCCTTCATTTCTGACTTGTCCTTTTTTTAATGCTGTGGAAGTTCTCACTAAGGTCATTGAACATCTTTATAACCAGTGTTTTGAACTCTGCATCTGATATATTGTTTCCATTTAGTTTAGTCCTTTTTCTGGAGTTTTGTTCTGTTCTTTCATTTGAGACATGTTTCTTTGTCCTCTCATTTTGGCAGCCTCTCTGTGTTTATTTCTGTGTATTAGAGCTGCTACATCTCCTGCTCTTGGTAGAGTGGCCTAATGTAGTAGGTGTTCTGTAGGGTCCAGTGACACAGCCTCCCCTATCACCCTTGCTGGGCACTCAAGATGCAACCCCAACGTGGGCTGTGTACACCCTCCTCTAGTAGTTGAGCCTTGATAATATTTGAGACGTCAGTGGGAGGGGTTTACCCCCAGGCCAGTCAGCTGCAAGGCTGCAACCACCAACCACTGAACTCCAGCCACTGTAGAGTATCAGCTCTGCAGGGGCCCACCCAACAAAGCAAGATTTACTTTGGTGGGGCTCTGGTGCCTGCTGAGTCTGCCCCTTGAGTGTGTCCCTCGTGGAGGTGGTTGGGTAGTAGTGCTTTGACATGATCTGAAGCTGTCCACTGGTTTTGCTGCCTCTGGTGCTTCCTGGGAGGTGCAAGCTAAGGTCCCCTGCTGCCTTTGCTTTGCCTGAGTCCACCTGGCATGAGCTACAAAGTGATTTGCAGATGGCTGCTGATTGTGCTGGGTTTAAAGGTGCCCAGGTGAGGCCAAGCTGTAAACCAAGACCAGTTGCTGCTAGTTTTGTGCCCAGGGCCACATAGCGAGAGGTGTGGGGCACGCTGAGGCCAGATGCTGCTTGTTTGAGAGGTCTTTGGAAAATCTGAAGCATCATCCAAGATAGGCCTTTCATATGGAAAAGCCACTGAAAACAGCTTGGGTGGGCTTAAAACAAGTGAGGCAGGGCCTCAGGGAATCAATAGGTGGGGCAAACAGTAATAGCCAGCTTGATATGTCTCAAATGTGTTGTCTCCCTGCTGGCTGGGGCGGGAGGGGTGGGGGGGGGCGGGGGGGTGCTCATCAAAGGAACAGTGGTATCTGCTCTCACTTCTGTATGGAAAAAAATGTATACCCTAGCTCTCACCCCAGTGCCAGGCAATTCAGTTCTTCCCCATATGTCCCCGGTGCCTTTCAAGCTGCTGCCCCAAGCACTGGAGATTAGAGGGAGTGAGTAAGTGTGTGTGCAGGCCCTTTAAGAACACCTGGGACTTTGTCTTAGCTTCAATCTCTGCTGGTTTTTAGGGCTAGAAGTTAATGGGGACATTTCTTCCTGGCACTGGAACCCTGGGATGGCGGGGGGCGGGGGGCGGTGTGCAGATGGGACACCTCACTCCTCAGGGGGGACCCCTGCAGCCAAGGTATCCCTCCCTATTTTTATCTGCCACATGTGGGTGGGGGACCAGTTTTTCTGTCTGTCCCTCCTGCCAGTCTCATGTGGCTTCTTCTTTAATTCCCTAGTTGTAAGACTTCTATTCAGCTAGATTTCAGGCAGTTCTGAATGATGTTTGTTCTGTTGTTTAGGTGTAATTTCTATGTGCTTGTGGGAAGAGGTGAATACCAGGTTTACCTATGCCTCCATCTTGCCTAGAAGTGAGATCTATGTTTTAATGAAACTTTTAGGAACCAGTCCATAAGCCATATCTAGGTCTGGAAATTGGTTTTGAGAATTCCTCTTTGAAAATATACTGTATATTTTCATTGCTTTTTGCTTTCTTTGCTTCCCATAGGAACTGAGAACAGAAGCAATTGCCAGACCTCTGGAGATAAACGAGACTGAAAAAGTGATGAGAATTGCAATAAAAGATATTTTGGTAAGATTATTTTACCTTTTTTTTTAAAGGTTTTATTTACTTATTTTTAGAGAGAAGGGAAGGAAGGGAGAGAAACATGGATGTCAGAGAGAAACATCAGTCGGTTGCCTCTTGCGTGCACTCTGACCGGAGACCAAACCCGTGACCCAGGCACGGGCCCTGACCAGGAATCAAACCCAGTGACCTCTGGTTTTGCAGGATGATGCCCAACCTACTGAGCCACACTGGTCAGGGCTGATTACTTTGCTTTTATTTAATTTTTTTGTGCCTGGGCCCCAAACATACTGATTTCTTGCCTCCATAAGACAGAACAAGGTAGGCCTACTAACAAAGAAGGGAAATGAAAAATTTATAGAACTTTCTAGAATACTTAGGTCACTTACTGTTATTTTTCCCCTTGTTATAAATATGAATGACTTCTAAAGTTATTAAAAATTTGTTAATTTTTAAAATAGATTTGAGAGAGAGGAAGAGAGAGAGAGACATCAATTTGTTGTTCCACTTATTTATGTATTCATCGGTCGATTCTTGTATGTGCCCTGACTTGTGATCGAACTGCAATCTTGGTGTATTTGGATAACACTTCAACCAGCTGAGTAACCCAGCCAGGCAAAAATTTGTCAATTTTAATATTTCAATAATTCTATTAAATTTTATGGACTCTTCACACTTTATTTAACCAATTCCTCATTGCTGGGCATTTAAGTGATATTTAGGTTTTCTTAATTCTAACAGCACTATAATAAATAGAATGATCACCATCCTTTACTACTCAGCCACTGATCAATTGTTATTTGCTCATCCATGTGGAAGACAGATAGTGAGGGGCACTCTAGAGTCAGAATGTTTGGGTTTCAATCCCACCATGTGATTTTAGTCATGTTATTTAACCTCTCTGTGCCTCACTTTCCTCATCTGTAAAATGGGGAGGAAGGGAGTGCCTGTCACACAGGGTCTCTTTGAGCATTCGTTATGACCATGTGTGTCATACATAGTCTCTGCCACATAGTAGGTGTTCATGCATTAGGATTCATTTTATTCAGTAGACACAGGCAGGGGAGCTTATGTAAATTAGGAATAGGCATAAAACAATTTGCTGAGAGTTGTATGAAGTTCTAAGATTGATAGATTTTTATAAGACCCTGTTATAAAATAGTGATACTCCATGAGAGACCCAGCATGGGGAACCAGAGCCTCAGCAGGGTAAGGAGTCCAGGGCAACCAAGGTGGGAGATTGATTATGTGTAGGTAGATTGATTCAAATAAGTAAATACAGTTGTGAGTACACAAAACAGTTTGTTCTCGTATTGTTATATATTATTTTATTGTTTCCATATAAATAACTATAAACCTACTTTTCCCCTACCCTATATATTAAAGATAACAGAGGCCAAGTTTCTTACTGTTGGAGAAGGCCATTACAAATATGAAAAGGGAGGAAATTAGAATGGACCATGAAATTGGAGATCTTGGTTAATTGCATGGTTTTCAATATATAGAGATAAATATAGAAATACATCTTGATATACATGTTCAGTATTTATATACACACATATGTGCATGCATACCCACATACACATTCATACATTTCTTAGCTCTGGGCACACCTAGTGCCCAAATCTTCTAAATGCCATTCTCCACTAAAAGGAACTAGGGCTCTTGGGGAGAGAAGGCTTATTCCAAAGCTGGAAGAAGAAGGTGCAAGATCTTGTTTGTGCCAGAAAGCAAAAAGTACTCCAAAAATAAGAGGGATCTTTCAAAAGGACACAGAAGCCAGCTTGAGTGGGCTTCCCCTGGCCAAAGCAGGGTCAGTTTAGCACCAAAATAAATAAATAATATTAATGGATTATAGTCTATTGAAGGAAATGGGAGATCATGAGTTCTCACTGATATAAAAAAAATAGGTGAATATATTGGCAGCTGTTTTTTCACATAGTTTCAAAGTAGCTCTCCACAAAATACAAATAATTACAAAGGGGAAAAAAGTAACTTCATATGAGAAGCCTAACAAGACACCCCTTTAAATCAAGTAATCAAAGTGCACATCACCAGTTATGGAGCAGGTCAAAATTATGTACACATTATGTAATGTAGTTGTACCTGTGCTAGCTGGAGATTCATAATTTGAAGCTAATCAGACAAAGGCAAATTGGGGACATCCTATAAATAACCTGGCCTATATTCTTCAACAGTAAAAGGGTCACAGAAGTCCAGGTAAGGCTCAGAAGCCATTCCAGACTGAAGGAGGCTAAGGAGACATAACAACTGAATACGAAGGGTGACAACCATCTGATGTTAAGGTCTTCATGGGGACAAATGGGGAAACTTGCATGGGTGTGTGGATCAGATGGCAGTAGTGCATCAGTGTTTGTTTTCTGTTCTGATCATTGTATTGTGGTCATGTAAGAGGAAGTTCTTATTCATAAAAAATACACACTACAGTATCTAAAGGTGATGGGGCGTCAGATCAGCAACTCACTCACTTAGGTCAAGAAAAAATGTTTTGTATTCAGTATTAAATTCCAGCTGTTTGTAAGTTTATAATTGTTTCTGAATTTTAAAAATATTAACATGACAATCTTGTGCTTGACATTGTTCAGGCCGAATCAACATGGCATGACTGTACCTTTAGCAATAAGTATGTATCAAAAATAGAACAGATGAGGCCACAGTTCATTACTTGGTGAACATCTCTTAAGATATTATTTCAAAAGACAAAAAAACAAAAATAAACAAATTGGACTACATCAAACTAAGAAGCTTTTGCACCACAAAGGAAACCATCAACAAAACAGTAAGGCAACCTACTGAATGGGAGAAGTTATTTGCAAATGATATGTCCAATATATAAAGAACTCATAAAGCGCAACATCAAAAAAACAAATGATCCAATTTAAAAATGGGCAGAGGGTCTGGATAGACATTTCTCCAAAGAGGACCTACAGATGGCCTGAACAGACACATGAAAAGATGCTCAACATCACTAATCCTAAGGGAAATGTAAATCAAAACCACAGTGAGGTATCACCTCACACCTGTCAGAGTGGCTATTATCAGTAAGTCAACAAACAACAAGTGATGACAAGGAAATGGAGAAAAGGGAGTGCTACCACAATGTTGGTGAGATTGTAAATTGGTACAGCCATTATGGAGGTTCCCTCAAAAAATTAAAAATCAACTACCATATGACACAGCAATTCCACTTCTGAGTATTTATCTGAAGAAATTGAAAACAGTAATTCAAAAAGATATAGCACCCCATGTAAATTGCAGAATTATTTATAATAGCGAAGATATGGAAGCAATCCAGGTGTTTTTCAAGAGACAAATAGATTTAAAAGACGTGATACACACACAATGGAATATGACTCAGCCATAAAAAGAATGAATCATGCCATTTCTTATGTGGATTGACCTAAAGGGTATTATGCTGAGTGAAAAAAGTCAGACTAAGAAAGACAAATACCATATAATTTCACTTACATGTGGAACCTAAAAAACAAACAAAACAAAACAAAACAAACTCATAGGTACAGGGAACAAACTGGTGGTTGCCAGATGAGAGAGGGACTTGGGGACTGGGCAAAGAAGGTAAAAGGGATTAAGAGTAGACATCCCAACTTCTGGCCAAGATGGAGGTATAGGTATACACACTTTGTTTCCTCACACAACCAAAAGGACAACACATTTAAAAACAAAAAACAACTAGAACTGCCAGAAAATCAAACTGTATGCAAGTCCAACAAACAAGGAGTTAGAGAAGAAACATTCATCCAGATTGGTAGGAGGGGTGGAGATGGGCAGCTGGGGTGGAAAGGATGCACAGCATGACAGCAGAGCAGACAAGGTGTGGCTGGTGAATGGGTGGTCCCACATTCATGTGCGGATAAGCTGGGAGGAACAACTGGGGAGTGAGACAGGCCGCGCAACCCAAGGTTTGAGTGAGGAAATAAAGCCTCAAAATCCCTGGCTATAAAAACCTATGGGGATTGTGGCATCAGGAGAAACTCCCATCCTCAAAGGAGACTTCATTGGAGAGACCCACAGGGTCCTGGAATGTACACAAATCCACCCACCCAGGAATCAGCACCAAAAGGACCCAATTTGCCTGTGGGTCTTGGGAAGTGACTGAAATCTGGTGGAGAGCCAAGCAAGTGGAATTGTTCCCTCTCTGACCTCTCCCCCACATAGTGCCACAATGCAGCCAAGTGGGTTGCTCCACCCTGGCAAATACTTAAAGCTCTGTCCCTTACAACATAACAGCTGTGTCCAGGGAAATAAATATGGCCCAAATGAAAGAACAGATCAAAACTCCAAAAATAGAACTAAGCGACGAGGAGATAGCCAACCTATCAGATGCACTGGTAATTAGGATGCTCGCAGAAATTACTGAGTACAGATGCAAAATAGAGGAAGAAGTAAAGGTTATGCAATATGAAATAAAAATATACAGGGAACCAACAGTAAAGGGAAGGAAACCAGGACTCAAATCAATGATTTGGGCAAAAAGGAAGAAATAAACATTCACCCAGACCAGAATGGAGAAACAAGAATTCAAAAAAGTGAGGAGAGGCTTAGGAACTTCTAGGACAACTTTAAACGTTCCAACATGTGAATCATAGGGGTGCCAGAAAGAGAAGAGGAAGAGCAAGAAATTGAAAACTTGTTTGAAAAAACAATGAAGGAAAACGTCCCCAATCTGGCAAAGGAACTAGACTTCCAGGAGATCCAGGAAGCTCAGAGAGTCCCAAAGAAATTGGACCCAAGGATAAGCACACCAAGACACATCATTATTAAATTACCCAGGATTAAAGAGAAGGAGAGAATCTTAAAAGCAGCAAGAGAAAAGGAGGCAGTTACCTACAAAGGACTGCCCATAAGACTATCAGCTGATTTCAAAAAAGAAACCTTACAGGCAGGAAAGGGCTGGAAAGAAGTATTCAAAGTCTCGAAAGGCAAGGACCTACATCCAAGAATATTCTATCCAGCAAAGCTATCAC